CCCCCCCCCCCCCCCCCCGCACCTGCGAGATATGTCCGAGCAAAGGCCGGCAATGTTGAAAAACTGTGCCTCGTGGGATAGCTCCTCCAAGAAATGCAGATCCTCCTTGCCGAAGGACTCCAGCCCGATGTAGCTGTCTCTCAGATAGTTCAAGATGTGCCTGAACAAAAACGCAAGTTTTAAACGATAAGCCATCCTGACGCAAGCGACCCGTCAACAATTGGAGACGTGCCCGAAAAAAAAAACAGAGGGTACTGCTGTAGACAGCGATAGCAACCCACCAACAACAACAGTTCGAGGTGTTAATTGAAAAAAACAGAATACAACAACAGTTCGAGGTATTGAATGAAAAACAGAACTTTGTAGATGGTGAAGCAAAAAAAAAAGGGGGGGCAAAAACCAAATAATATCGGTTGAGTGACTCAATTAGATCCAACCGCACCCCGACATCAATAGCCCAACATCCGAAACTGCCACGTTTTCCGTGCCAATAAATCCTCAAGAAGGAGTCTGCCCGCCTCGCCAAAGATCCGGGGCTAAGGCGATAGTCTTGCACGGTACGAACGCTTCCAACACCTTCACGCGCTGCCACGCTTTTTGCGTGGTCGGCGTGAGATCGACGTGCTCACCCGGGGCCATGTAACATGGCACAGGTGCTAATGTCGTTCATCCCTCACTAAAAAAAAAAAATCCCCCAGGATCTTCAGAAAAAGTGAGAAAATTTTTCTACCGTCTTCCGCGACCCACTCCCACCCCTCTTCCCACCATGAAATTCCTATCTCCCACGCGCTATTACAACCCTACCGTCGCTTGGTTCAAGGGGTGTGGTACCTTACGTCACCCCACCGCCGCCGGCGTACCTTGCGTAAGATGACACCACCTGGACCGATTTTCGAAGCTTGATATCTCAGCGGTAGGCGTTGGAAAGGTCTCGTCAAGGGCTTTCCGCAAGCGTGTACTTCAAAATTTCGGCATCCTCTTCGTGGAGAAATCGAGTTGAAAATCGGTCCAGGGGGGTGGTATCTTGCGTCGACCGAACACTAGACTCCGGCGGCCATTTTTTTTGTTCTTCACTCTTCTCACCGGAAGTGCGTGGGATCGCGGTCGATGAAGAACTCGACGCCGTCCGAAGTAGAGGACGACGACCCTCCACCCCCTCCTCCCGCGGCCGCGGGCGTGCCGCCGTTCATGGTGCCGCCGCTGCCGCTGCTTTCTTCCTCCGCCGCCGCGCTAGCGCTGCTCGTGCTCCCGCTCCGGACGGATGTGCTGCCCGGCGTCGTAGGGGGCTGCATCCTCAGCATGGCAGCGAAGTACGTGTGCGGGTTTCTCGCCAGGGTGTCGCGAGTCGTCATGAAAGAGGTGCCGCTGGGGTGATTCGGGGGGGACGGGGGGGGGGAGGGGCATGATCATGATCTCGTTTTGATTATTTCGTAGCCTAGCGGCCGATGTTGGTGTTAGAGCTTGCAATTTTCGTGTCTTCATGTCATATCGACTCTCTCTCCCTCTATCGGTCTGTGTGTCTCTCTCTCCTTTTTCCTTTCGTCTCTGTTGCTCTGTCCCTCTCGCTGCTGCGCTCTCTCTGTCTCTTGATTCTCACCAACATTGGAAAAAGCAATAAATACCACACTACTTCCCTCAAACTGGAACAGGTTTTCCTGAAAAGGCTGACGTCGGGTGGCACCCACTGCATCCTCAATAATAGGCCGCTACTCCGGCAGGAGCGACCTGCCCTGCATAGCGACCACATTCCCTCCTGACACTACAGCGGTAGGAGGCCGCAAAACCTGGCCCTGTAAACACAACTTGCCTTGTTGCACTACACACGCCCGTCACTCACTCTTGTACAAAATATACATTCTTTCTCCGACCCCAAGCAAAAGTCGATCATGCTCACACGGACCCTCTACCGGTGTAGATGCCGACGCTGTTGACGGTGATAACCAATCAAAGAAAGACTGCCCTTCCAGCAAAAAAGGTCGTCTTATTCCACACCTATTATACATACCTGAGGTTGAGCGTGACCCTCTCGCTCGCCCGGCGAACCGACGCGAACTCGCCCGGGCTATAGGCCGCTCTCCAGAACCGCCTCTCCTCCCCTGCTTCCTCCACTCCGTTTGTCGCGGCTGTGCTGCCGTCGTTCAGGGAGTTGTCCCCGTCTGCAGAATAACGCCATCGTATTGTTGTAATACGAATAAGGGAAAAAGAGGCGGGGACGGATCACAAGCGAGTTAGCTACGTTGGATGAGAACAAGAGCGAGGGATTGAGAGAATTGAGGTTGATCCGGGTATTATCGCTGATTGGCCGGGGCACGATGGGGCGGGAATGTCGGAGATTTCATCAATAAAGTGTATTCAACCTAGGAACAGTGGAAAAGGAGATCCAAGTATCGCCGAGCACGCTCCCTTCCTCGTGGATGTATCTCGGAGATCCATGATTTCGGCCATGCTCGCAATGTGTAAACTGGACATTGTCGGGGGGTGTAAGCTCACGGAAGATTCCAGTGCTAATTGCTGCTCTGTGTCATGTCTCAACCGGCGTTGCACCCCTCCAAGCCAAAAAAGATGGATTCGTAGTGTCATACGTACTCCGTATCAGAACAAAAAAAAATGCGGTTCAAACTGCAAGACTTGGGGCATGATGGCTTCCTAACGATTTTTCTAGGAATTCGGGTGAGCCTGCAGCAGGAGCTCGGGCGGGTCTTGTAGTCGCCACCGAAAATCATGCCAACTTGATCAAAAGCATCTACATAGCGTGTACACGTAGCAACGCAGCACAATCAAGACGCAAGACTTGTCTGTGCCTCCAACCTTAACGGCACGCAAGCGCAAATATAACGGTTTCGACGTGATTTTTTCCGCCACCTGTTGAAAATTCTCCCTTGGCTGCTTAGCATTCGAATCGACTCCATGATTCGAAGTGGCCATACGACAAACAACTCCAACCCGGGGAGGCTGGTCTATCTAGGCGCAATTCCATGCAGCCTGGTCGCCTAGCGCTAAGCGGTTACCATATATCGTTCCGCGGCCCACTTTCAGAACGCCGAACAAGGTCGTTCACAGCAATCTATAATGCTGCTGTAGGGGATCTTCTGAGTGTCCCAACAGGTTTGCCACGCCACCATCCACTCTCGCTTCCCACGGGAAGCGAAAAAGACGGCGGCGTATAAGGAAGGGTAACAGCGTAGAGACCACGACGATGGCTTATTTCTTGAGCCCTAACGCCGGTCGGCGAGTCGTCTCGGCGATCAGATCGCGCGATCACCCACAGATCGATGGCGCGATGCTTTTTCTTGTTCCATCACGATACATGAGCGCTCCCACACACAGACAGCACCGCATTTCTGCCGTGTACAGGTGTCCATTTTACTATTAGAAGGTGTACCCCCCTTTGCGGGCAGTTGGCTTGTGACCACGGAAGGCGTCCGCGTCAGTTGGACTAGTACGGACATTAGGAGGTACTGAGCGGAGACCGGAACGGTTTTTAAATGTGAAGACAACAACAAAAACAACAACAACAGGGTCATCCATGTTTCATTGGTTGAAAACACCAGCGAAGGCCTTTGCATCTATATAACGATCTCCAGTCCGTCATCATGGGTGCAAAAAGGAGTTCATGCGAACACAAGTTGTTGTTGTTGTTGTTGTTGACTTCACATTAAACCGTATGCCAGTTGCTAAATGCCAAAATCTAGCAAAGACTCTCGGCCCGTGGTCACGAAAGTGCTGGAGCCATCTGAGGATCTAAAGAACACGCACACGTAGCAAGAAAAAGGTGTACAAGAGCCCGAAGAGGTACTACTACACCTATATATAATCCCTGCAGCACCGTACGCGTGCCCAAAACTGAACTACACGTCCGTCTCACCGTTCGACTACAGCAACATCACCCCCTAC